TTTTATCAAGTATCACAGTAATACGTCATATGTTACGCGAAAATGCATTAAAATAGTCCTCAAAACAAACTATATCTAAAGATAACGCTTTCTAATGTCTGTGGTTTCTACATGTCTGTGGTTTTCATTTTGAAAACCACAGACATGTAATATTGGCATAATTACTATCATTTGTATGAACTAACTTATTTATTTATTTTATCTTTATTAGACACCACCCTAATTGGGTTTATTTTATTGCAGCATTAGTTTAACTTTGTATCTAGACCTGAAGATGCTTTGCAAATGGTAGAAAGCGAAACCGGTCGTCAGATTGTTAAATTAAATTGATTGTGAGTAAGTCTTATTATTATTTCTTTACCTATTCTTATAATTTTATTTGGTATAGTACTCTCCTGTAAGTCTTGGATCATTTTTCTTCTGTTTGGTTTGTCAAACGCCTGTTTAAAGTCTAGAAAAAGTATATGTGTTTCTACGTTGTACTCGTGTGATTTCTCTATCACTTGTTTTAAAGCATGGGTAGCTTTTATCGTGGATCTTCCTTTCCAGAACCGCACCGGTAATCTCCTATGCTTTATTATGTAATTTTTGTTAGTTTGTCTCATCGAGTTAAAATCTATGGAGAGGGCATCACGTGACTAAAAATGTGCTCACTTCAGCCATATTGTTATCATCGTTTTGAAAGATCCTATATTATTGTTTACGTATGTTGTTTTTCGAATTATTTTGGTTTTATAATAATTTTATAGAAACTGTAATATTATATTGTGATAGTGCATAATAATGGTTTCTTGTTCTCAACGTAGTTGCAGTAGAAGAAGCAATGTTAATAAAAAATCTTCAGGAATAACGTTACATAGGTTAGTATACAAATATGTAAACAAAGTAATAGCCAGCACTTCAGATAATAAATTAATAGTATTCATAAAAAATCGTACAGTAACTTCGAAAAGTTTCTCGATTAATTTTTCAGTCATTATTGAATATTATTAACAGTTTCCAAAACAGCAATTAAAACATCCACTTCCAATAAAATATATATAATGCATACACAGAATATAAAAATGCTAATAAACAATTTGTAAGCTTTTTATAATATTTTTTAGTTCAATAATCATATTATTTATTTAATATTTAATATTTATTTCATATTAGTGATGCATATAATTGTATTTTTAGGTTTCCAAAAACTTTGTTAATTGAGGGGCTGAGAGGAAAAGTGGTACAAGTGACATTTTGTATAAAAGTGAGATATGTGCATGAGTGGCTAGAGGATGTTGAGATTTATTAATATAAAAATGGTACAAGTACAAAACACACTACAGTACGGGCATCTGTATGTGAGAAGTAAAAGCTCTCACCAATTTCTGGTAATGGTTTTCTGTATAAGTGGTCCAAGCGTACATGTCCGACTTTTGTTCTAAACCTTATGTAGTTGTTTGTGACAGCCACGTTTTAAAAGTGTGCAGGAATATTAATACAATTTGTGAAATAGCCTTAAAATAATGCAAGGTAAGTCTTCAATGCGTTTTATATTTTTTCAATTGTTATTTTATAGGGTTATTTTATTTATCTATGTCTACAAAAAGTAGTAGTTGAAAGAAACTTATAGCATAACCTTAAAATGTTTCTTTTTTGTTTCAGAATCTGACAGTTATTCGGAATATGACGATTCAGAAGAGGACAGAAACTATAATCCAATAGAAGAAAGTAGTAGCGATAGTAATCATGATCTACAAAACATTGCAGATGTTCATTTATACAAGTCATTAAAGAAAAAGGGCAAAAAACGTTTGAGATATAGCGATTTAGATAAGAGGCAAGTAAGAAAACGAAAAAGAAATGCAGGTGAGGAATACGTAGGCTATAAAAACAAGTTAGTAAAAGCAAGAAGTTTGCAAAATTATATACAACTTGCAGATTTCAGTGTCAAAAATTCACCGATGAACAAAGACAGGAAATATTTAACCAATTCTGGGGTCTAGGAAATTGGAATCTGCAGAATGCATTCATTACGTCTTGTACAGAGATCGCTTTGCCCAAACGACGACGTACAGAAGCTGTTACTAATAAAGAAAAGAGCGTTACTATCAAACTAAAAAATATGAGAGTTAGATGGGCAATGGACGTTATCCGAGAATTTTAAATGGGATATCTGACGTTGGAATCACCGCTGTTGATAAAAGAGGAAGAGCTCCATGTCCTAATAAACTATCATAGGATGTAATTGATAAGGCAAAACGACATATTGATATGTTTCCAAAATATACCAGCCATTACACCAGACATTACAATCCCCGTAGACGGTACCTTCCTTCATTTTTGACCATAAGAAAAATGTATAAGTGTTACCTAGAGCATTGTCAAGAAAATAACGAAGCTCCTGTCAAGGAATGGTGCTACAGGAGAGTGTTTAATACCGAATTTAATCTAAGTTTTCATCATCCCTAGTCCGATACTTGTAATAAGTGCGATAAGTTCGAAACATCAATAAAATCGTGCATAAGTGAGTCAGATAAAAAGAAAATAATGTGCGAGATAGAGCTTCATCACCGAAAAGCCGAATCGGGAATACAAGCCAAAAAAGAGGCAAAAATAGTGGCTGAAACTTCAAGGAATGAAGAAGTGGTATCAGTTTGTTTCGATCTACAAAAAACTTTACCTACACCAGCACTTACAACCAACAAAGTGTTTTATATGCGAGTATTATGGACATATAATTTTGGAATCCATAATTTGGGCAAGAAATGTGCTTTAATGTATATGTGGGATGAATCGGTAGCATCCAGAGGCTCTATGGAAGTTTCTTCATGTCTTTGGAAATTTATTGCTGGTCTTAATCAAAATACACGACATCTTATTGCATTTAGTGATTCTTGTTCGGGACAAAATAAAAATAAAAATATTGTGAAATTTTTTATTTATATGGTTAAAGAAACTCAGCTAGAAATAATAGACCACAAATTCCTTGAACCAGGACATACCTTCATGGAATGCGATGAAGATTTCGGAGTCATTAAAAAGTACAAAAAGCAAGTACCTTATATTTTTGTACCCAGTGAGTGGATGAATGCTGTGAGAAACAGTTCTAAGAAGTTTAAATGTGAAGAAATGAAGATGGAGCACTTCATTTCACTCGAAAACTTCAACGAGTACGTGCAGGAAAATATTAAAAAGGATGATGAGAATAAGCAGATAAAATGGAGAGAAATAAAATGGATTCGGTTTGAGAAGAAAGACTCATTTACTATGAAATTCAAGTACACTCTCAATGAAGAGACTGAATTTATAAGTGTTAACTGTATGAAGAAGATGCGTGGAAGAACACCTCAGAATATTAGTCTTAGCAAACTGTATAGTTCACCCATGAGTCTGAAGTATGAAAAATGGAAGAATTTACAAGACCTATGCTTTGTGCCACCAATTTACCATCAATTTTACAATCAGCTCAATCACACTGCGAAGAAGGGAAAACAAGGTCAGAAAAAGAAGCCAATGCAACCTGAAGAAAGAAAAGAGAAGGACAATGAAGATGACGATGAGGTAGACGACAATGAAAAAATACTTTTAAGCGACTATGATGATGAGGAAGATATTTAGCTCAGTTGGTAGCTCGTCTATATAATATCATTTCGTTATTATTTTTATGCATTTTTTGTTCCTGTATTTTTGTGCAATATACATTTGGTTTCGCATCTAATGTAGCTTCTTAAATAAATGTTAAAAAATTACGTGTATTTCTTTTATAAAAGATATTATTTATTTATTTACTCATGGTAATATTTACTTGTACCATTTTTACTCTAAACAACAAAAATGGTACATGTACATTTTGTAAAAAATGTTTCAAAAAAACTAAATGTATATGATTGTAAAAACTGCACATGAAAACATTAAGAACTTACTAATAATAATATCTTGATTAGATTTTAAAATTTTGTTTGGTCTTTTTGTGCCACTACTTAAACTTTAACTCTCATTTTCTCAAAACTATCTAAATGTCACTTGTACCACTTTTCCTCTCAGCCCCTCAATTGAACTAAATTTTTAAGTGTCAGTTAATTTGTTTTTTTTTGTTTGTTAATTTGATTAAATCTTCTGAATAACCAATCATATTTGTATAGTAGTTTTAACATTATTGAGTCCGGCTCTGATCCCACCACCTTATTGGTATGATCGTTAGCCACACCTACTGACGCCGTTTTTAATACACACGTTAATATGCTCATAGCTTCTCCATATAACGGGATGGTTTGTCTCTAATTATACAAGTCATTACTTTATATGTTACATTCAGTAAATTAATTGCTAGGAAATTTTTGCACATTTTATGGCCTCCTTGTTTTGGGATTGTCACTGTGATTCCTTTCTTCCATTCTTCAGGCATTATTTCTTTGTTTCATATATTCTGCAATAGTTCGTAAATCTTTCTGTATAGTGTCTCCCCACCATATTTTATAAGTTTTGCACATAATTTCTCTTTCACTTATGTATAAGTCAATTCTTCTTCTTCGTCATCTTATTCCGTGTTCGTTATTGTTTCTCTTTCTTCTTCTCTATCTGTTTCTTAATATATTTCTTCGAAATACTGCTGCCATTTTTCTGCATCAATAGAAAGAGGATAGGTATTGCGGTTAAATTGTCACTCACATGCCACATACCTTTATCTTTAAAGTTATCAAAATATTTATTAATTTACGTATTGTGGTTCAGAAAATAGCTTATCTGGAACTTTAGTGGAATGTCAGACAATATATCCCTGAAAATAGGTATTGGGTCATTAATAAAAGTAGAACTCACACAGTCGCCAGTTGTATCCTTAAGAGACGAAACAAAAATTTGACAAAAATTGGATGGATTAGATAAGATTGAAGAGGTTTCAAACGAAATGTAAATAATCCTTACTGTAGAGTAGAAAAAATTTAAGATATGGCCCAATTGTTCATTCTAGGTTATAACAAAATAGCTTGGCATAAGATACTTGTGTAACATGTACTTACCAAAAGTGAATCAGTTTCTATGACCTCATCTTTTTGTGCCTCTCCGAAAATTGTACCATTAGTTTTTTTCTCATTATCACTTGGTTCTACCGAAACCTGATGAATTTCTATTGTGTACATTTTAAAACATCACTTTTCAACATTGTACCAGCATTGCACTAATTTCAGGCTAAAACTATTTGCTTTTAGGTAAATATATATCCAGTTTGCGTCGACTGATTAAAATTTATCAGTTATTGACTGATTCTTGATGAGTTTACTCAACACACATATCTTAACGAAATCATCTTATCTCTATAATCAAATGATTATTTAAAATTTTTAGAGAATATACGATTATTATGGTTTAGAATTTATTTAAATTAACTTATATAGAAACGTGCCAAGTAGATTTGTCCTTGCTCTCTTCTTTAGAAATAATTTAAAAATATTGAAATTCCCATTTTTTCTAAAATAAAATTTTATAGACAATATAAGTAGATCAAATCTAGTTTGCCTGCTAGAGATTTATATTACAGCAATAAAAAAAATCATTAAGAGGTATTAACTTAAGGTGAACAAATAAAACATAATGAAGAAATAATGGTTGAAAGACCAACTTCCAAGAGATCCTTAAAACTTAGATTTGAAATAATACCCGACTTATTATGTATTTGAACTTTGAAAAATAAGGCTATTATTGAGAACAAGTTAATTAAATTTAGCCCAAGTACCTTCGCTTAAAATAGCATCTTCAGGGGCATTTCGTCAAAATATAAACTATCCGGCAAGCGTAGAATGTGGAAACATTATTAATAACATAAAATTGTACAAAACACTACACTAAAACGAAGACAAACAGTCTAAAATTACTTTAAAGATTCTACGCTATATTCTTTGTCAGTGTCTGGAGTCTCTCTGTTCTCTGTCTATTATGTATTTATAGATTATTTAAATTTATCTTAAGCTGGTTACGTTTATTATCCCCTTTTCTACCCTTTTTGAAAGCAGGGTCAGGAAAATTGGCCTTAAGGTCAACCAAGATAAAACCAAGTACAGTTACAAAAATCCAAAACTAAGAATTAGACAAAACATTTCGAAAACATAAACATCGATGGTATAAAGATTAATGGGCACGTTGTTAATACCCTTTGCTATGCCAATAACGGCAGTCATAGTAGTTGGACTGACGAGCTAAAACGTTGTCATAGGAATTGGATGTAAGAGCACCAGATCGAAATAGATGGAAAATTATAAGGGAGATCTATGTACAGCAGTGGATAAGAGAAAGTTAAATGATGAACAGCCAGTACTACAATATCTTATCGACAGATGAAATATAGAAGAACAATTTCGTTTAAAATGAAACATAGTTAAAATAAAGGTAATGGTCGGTAGCAGAACACTTAATGTACATTTAAGTATCATCGTGGACGGTAATAATATTCATTAAAACTCCAAGTTCCAATATGTCGGAAGCTAGATACCTGGAAACCTTGACCCAGAAACACACATACGTAGCAGAATTGAATAGGTAAGAGCAACACTTATGATTACGAGAACTCCGCTTAGCAACGAGAGTCTTAATTTAATGGTAGGGTACCATTTTGTAAAATGCTAAATTTACTTAATGCTGCTGTAAGGGGTGGGGACTTGGATAAAAGCTAATGTCATAAATCGCATTGAGGCATTAGAAATGTGGGTGTTTAGGTGAATTCTTAAAATTCCGTGGACAGATCATATAACCAACCTCGAAGAACTGCTGCAAATAATAAAGTGAAGGAAAGTAGACAACCTGGGTATCAAATTCAGAAATTCCAATTAATTTATTGTTGAGGTAAAGTTTGGGAAGAAGAATATAAGGGAATAGACAAACTTAGACGGCCTTGCACTTAACGAGTATACCAGAATTGTTGCCAATATTATCAAGTGGCAAGAATAAAGGTTGAACAAGAACTGTCGGGTGCAATAAATATAAAAAGAGGAGTGAGACAAGGCTGTATATTGTCGCCTTTACTTTTTAACTTATAATCGGAGGAAATATTTAAGGAAGCCTTAATAGAGACAACCGAAGGTATTATTGTGAATGGAGTAACCGTCAACAATATTAGATATGCCGACGATACCTTAGTCCTTGCCAATTGCGGAGAAGACCTTCAAAATCCAATGAACAAAATAAAACAGACTTGTGATCAGTATGGATTAAAACTCAACGTTAAGAAAACTAAATATATGTTAGTTAGCAAACAAAATTATATACAGGATGATGGTATAAAAGTCGGAGATGCCACACTGGACAGAGTAGAAAAACTCGTGTATCTCGGCGGTAATATCAATGAGAGTTGGGATCCAACCGCAGAAATTCAAAGCCGAATAGAACAAGCCCGAGCTGCCTTTGTAAAAATGAGAAACGTACTTTGCAGTCACGATATTAGCATTGACCTTAGAGTTCGTATGACATCTTGCTACATCTTTCCTGTCCTGCTGTATGGAGTGGAAGTGTGGACTCTAACTGAGGCTATGCTTAAACGCTTGACAGCCTTTGAGATTTGGGTATACAGACGACTACTGAAAATAAGCTGGGTCGACAGAGTTAGAAATGAGGAGGTCCTTAGACGGCTGAGACAAACAACACAACTCGTCAATATAATAAAGAAACGCAAGCTGGCATACTTCGGTCACATTATGAGACACCCTGAAAAATATGATCTTTTACATCTGATCATTCAGAGAAGGATCCAAGATAATCGTGGTCCTGGTAGACGAAGAACATCATGGCTGAAAAATCTAAGGCAATGGTATAGAAAATCAACTATATCGTTATTTAGAGCTGCTGTCAATAAAGTCACGATGGCGAATATGGTAGCCAACATGATATCCAACGATCGACAACGGTCATGGAACTAGAAGAAGAAGAAGAAGTTGCCAATATTCAATAAATGGTTAAGATATCTTAGGAAGAAGAAGTAGTGTTTTAGATCATGTACAGAGATAGATTATTAAAATAACTAAGAAATATCATGATTTTTTGGACATTTTGTAATACCGGCAAAAAAAACTAACTTTGAGGTTATCCTGGGAATTCAAACAGTTAATAGATAAAATATGGTGAAAATAGAATAAAAACAGATAAAAAGTAATATTCTGATTATAAATTGCAAAAATAGTTGAAAACTTGGGGCCAACTGTACCAAAAAGACAGAAATACAGGAGGAAAATACGAAAAGAACCTAGTTTTTTACTACTTACATTAGTTAGATGAAAAATATATTTAAAATGTTATCACTAACAATCTATATAACATTTTTAAAGCCGCGCATTTTATGTGCCTTTTGAATATATATCGTAAGTAAAACAGCAAAAAAAATCGTCGATGAAAGACTTCATTATTAACGAACACTGGAGCTATTACACAGGGAATGCTACAAAAGTCGCTCTAGTTGCTTATTTTAATTGGAAAATATGAACAAACTAACTGATTTAGCAACCCACAGGCATCTGGCTCGAAGGACCATACATATGGAGCTATTACACGAGGAATATCCCGAAAGGCACTTTAGTTGCTTATTTGAATTTAAAAGTGTGGACAAACTAACTGATTTACTTAAATAGCTAACAACATCACTTACCCGTTGAGAGCTTGGAAGAAAGCGATAAATTATTGCGCTATGTATGTACACAACCAAGCGACATATCGATATTAGAGATAGTGAATATTTATTTATGGTGAATAAAATTAATTAAAATCAAACTAAAAAAGTAATCTATCATCTTTCTACCCATAAGAACATAATAATGAATCCTAGCTAAAGCCTAAATATATTTTAAAATACTTAAAAAACACAGTTGGTGAAACGTTTTGTACATACAGAATTAACCAGCATTTGATTCAATAAAAAAAAACGAAATTACTGGTAGCTATGAGAATAAAGGGTTTAGGCAAGGACACTCGTTATCCTTAACTCTGTTTAATCTTGCCCTGGAAAATATACTTGTTTACAAATGGTTGGTACACTATATTTAGTGTACAACAAAAGAACAAAACTATAACAAAAGATGCATATTGGAGATAATTCACATAAAAAGATCAAAATATAATAATGATAAGACTAATATCAAAGACATTTCCAATATGTATTATAATTTAATAAATTGACTTGTTTTTTAAATATATCTTTGTCAGATCTTTAAAATATGACCCTAAACCACTCGTATTTTGAAGTACCTGCCAGATGTATTTAAAGTAAGATACGGCTTTTGAATTACATGTTAAATTATCAAAAAGTGCAGACATAAAATATAATGGTCTATTATGTAATGTTTAAATAATTAAAGTTATTATTATTTTTTTTTATTTCGACTTTAACGTGCTCGGCTACTATGGCCACTTACACAAGTACTATAAGATGAGTTTTCATTACACAAACCTTAAGTGTTACATTAAGAATATGTTATAATAATACGCAATGACAATAATATGTTACACAATGTGTAAATTAAAATCTAACTATATTTTTGGATATAAGTGTTCATCTCTAAGGAATTGTAGCACAGCTTTTATTTGGTCAGGGTTGTTTAGGATGTCTCGTACTTCACTTTTGAGTTTGTATTGTAATCTTTTGGCCGAATGTTGATGGCATTCAGTGAGAATATGTTTGATTTTCAAATATGAATGGCAGCTTTGACAGGAGGGATGAATGCTAGAGGACATTAGGTAGCCGTGTGTGAGTTTTGAATGTCCTATCCGAAGTCGTCTTATCACAATGAGATCTCGTCTTGACAGGACTGAACAGTCAAAGGTAAGCTGACTGGTTATTAACGGTTGTATTTCGTGTAAGATCGAACGGTTAGAGTTCCAATGCTGCTGACAAAGGAGTCTGGTTCTTTTTTTAGTATATGATTTTAGATTCTTACAAATTTGAATTTTATCGGTGATTTCATTATTGAAAATAGCAAATAGCAGAAAAGTTGAAGAAATTATTAACGAATTTAGGGAATGAGAAGGGGGAATATTATATTCTAGAAATGTTAAAAAAATGCCTAATATTATTACTCGTGGCACATAAATAAGAAAACGTGATAAACGATGTCTGATTAATTTGTTTGTTAAATCTAGGCAAATTATTAGAAAATAAAGAAAA